GGCGGTCTCGACACCCTGGCGGCGCCTCGTTGCGGTGTTGACCGCTCCAGGTTACTCGGGGTGGGGCTGTTGAAGCCAGTTAGGACTACTCCAGGGGCCTGGTGAGGCCAGCCGGGCCTACCTGGGCGGACTGTCTGCGTGTGGCCTCGGGCCCCGAGATGTCCACGCCCCCCGCCCCCTGGGGTCCCAGGACATCGACCCCTCCCTCCCATCCCTTACCATGGCGCAGATCTCCTCCCCATTCGCACACTCAGATGTCGTAGCATGGCATAGCATTACATGGCATAGCTTGGTGTTGAATATCAACGCGTAGGATGACATAGCACGGCGTGGCGACGCCCCAAAGTTGGTGGGGGAGGGAGGGGGGAAGGCCTCTTCGAAGGAGGCTAGCTTCTCAGACGGCGCGGGCCTTATCCATAGACGTAGGGCCAGCGCCTCCTGAGAAGCAGCCTCCTCCTGAGACGCCTGTCCCCTCCGCCCCCTGCCCCCTTGTGCGGGTCGCCAGGACGCCGCACGGCTCAACCATTTTGTCTCCATTCGATTTGCGGGGATCAGGCCAGGGAAGCCGAGGTAGATCCAGGCAGACCTTAAGTGAGGCCAAGGACCTCCAGGGAAATCTGGAGCAAATCTTGGACGCCCCGGCGCGAGTCGAGAGACGACAGTTGTCGTTGAGCTGCGTTTTTAACGCAACGAGTGGACCACCACTTCTGTCCGGCGTCTCCGCGCCCGGTGCACCCCGGTCAATCAAGGAAGGGAAAACCACCCGGACCCGATGATTGGCGTTTACTAAACGGCCCTGGGCGTTTACTGCACAGCCCTGCCTTGCTCGATTCTTTTGTCGGGCGCGCTTACTAAACGGCTTCGCGTGTCGGGGTGACTTTTATGAGGGTGCATATTCTGCAACCTGGGCAAGCGGCGGCTCAAACCTCCCGCGCCCGCAGACGGACGTGCTGCGGCAGCTCCGGTGCGCGGGCATGCTGGAGTCGATCCGGATCCGCCGCGCCGGGTGCGCCTGCCAGCCCTGCCGCGAGAGCGGGCCTCTGGCTTAGGGCCGTAGGGTCAAGTCGGGTGTGTCCCTGCACATGAGGGGTATTGTATCATAGTTCAGCAATAGTCTGGGGACGATTGTTTTAAGCATTGCTTGGCTAGTTCGATTGTTTGCACAGCATGGTTCAGCAGACATCGGCACGCAGGGGGCCTCAGGGTGGCCTTTGGGGGCGCCGCGGCCGGTCTCCAGGGGGTACCGGAGGATTGCTGCTCAACTGGAGGATTTCTCGGCGGCGAGCGAGGGGGGAGACGAGAAGGAGGACGTCTTCTCGGAATCGGCCGCGCGCAGAGGGCGGTAGGGGGAGGGGGGAGGCTTTTTTAGAAGCACGCCTGCTTCTTAAGAGGCGCTGGCCCTATTTGTAGATGAAGGCCGGGGCCTTCTAAGGGGCAGGGTGCTTCTAAGAAGCCTCCCCCCCCTCCCCCTATCCCCCTTCTGCGCGCCGCCAACAGAAGGCGGCGGAGCTTCTCGGAAGCCCTCGCGCATTCGAAGAAGTTGTTGTCTGTCTTCGGGGAAGGCTCAGGACAACTTCTCAGAAGGCCAGGGAACTTTCGAAGTTCTGAGAAGGCCTGCTCCTTCTCACTTCCCCCCCCCCCCCGCTCGCCACCATTTTTCGGCCTGGGGGGTGCTCCAGGTTTCTGACCTTCTTGGGCTCCAGGTCTCTTCTGCCTTCTCGGGCTCCGGGCGGTGGGTGGGGGTCTGCTCTCGTGGCCACGGCCGGACGCAGCAAGAGCCTGGCCAGGCAGGACGGCGTGCGGAGGGGGCCTGGAGAGCGATGAGTATCAGGGGGGGTAAAGCACACAGGCACAATTCATCGCCGGCTTCCGGGGCAGTCTGGGATCAGTTGGGAAGTGTGGGGGGGGGGGGGGGAAGACGAGAGCCCAGAAAATGTGGGAAACTGCCATCGGGCATCCCGGGAGTCGTGTCTATTAATTATGTCGTGTGTGTGCCCCTGCACGGGCCCCTCCAAGAGTAGTGGAACAGTGTGGGACTGTGGCGAGGAGTCGCAGGGGCGAGAGAGGGGGCCAGCGAGGGACTTGGGCATCGCTCGGGCGTGCGCACGTTCCCTTCGGCGAGGACCACGGAGGAGCATCCCCGATCACCCGGCGAAGAAAGCCACGCACGAGGAGGAGGAGGAGGAGGAGGAGGACGTCCGAGCGAGGGCCAGCGAGGGAGCGCAGCGCTCCGGGTGCCCGGCTCGAGGCAGCCCGCAGCCGGTCGTCCATCGCCTCGGCCGCGGGAGGGCATCGCAGGATTGCTAAAAGACCCAGGATTGCAAAAAAACCCAGGATTGCTAAAACAAACAAGGACTGCTTGCAAAACAAAACCCTGGGTTTTTAGCAATCCTGGGTTTTGCAATCCTGTTTTTTTTAGCAACCCTGGGTTTTTTAGCAATCCTTCGGGCCGCGCGACCCCGGCTTCGGAGGGCGGAGGCGCACCCCTGGCAGGAGGTCGGGCCTGTCTCTCGACAGGAGGGGTACTCAAAAATAGTAGGAAGAAGTAGTCTGGGGAGGATTGGTGCACCATTCTGGGATATTGTAAGGTTCTTGTTTTGAGTACGTGTTCTTTGTCGTCCAACGTCCGCCTGTCGGGGGGGCATGCCCGACCTAACCTTGGCACCATGGTTCGGTAGCAAGTCTTGGTTGCCTGGCGTACCCTGTTTTATTCCGTCGATGAGCCTCGATGTAGCGTCGATAAGAGCGTCTGGGCGTCGATGAGGTAGCGCCGGTGAGCGTCGATTTAGCGTGGATGTAGTGTGGATGTAGCGTCGATGCAGCTTCGACTCGCAAGAGCCGACAAGAAGGTATGGGAGGCTCCTATGAGTTGCCACCGAGCCATGGGGGGCACAGGCGAGGTCCACGCTGCCCGCCCCGAGCCGGAGGCGGAGCCGATCTCGGGCGGGGCGTCGCAGTGCAGCGGCACGATCCACACGATCACCAAGGGCTCCCTCGAGGGCGCGAAGTTATTCGCGCTTCGCGCTTCGCGGTCCTCGTTCCTTCTCCCCCTCCTCCTCGTCCTCCTATTCTCCCTTTGGGAGGGCGGCGCGAGAGCGCGAAGTTATTCGCGCTTCGCGCTTCGCGCAGCGCGAAGCGCGAAGTTGGGAGCCCTAGATCACCAAAAGTAAGTAATAAAAAACATAAACATACATAGAACCCAAAAGACATCACACTAATGTCTGAACAAGAACTCAGCCTGGCCCCTTGCAGTGGTCGCGTCGATGCCGATCCTCCCTGCTCGCAGCTGGGAAGACCCAGCGTCCATCGGTCGGACCTCTTTGAGGCATGGGCTCCCCGGGACCTGCCGTCTCGAGCAGGGCTGAACCTAAACGGTGTTTTCGTTTTCGTTTTGTTCTCGTTTTCCCCCGCTTTTGTCTCCAATCCGCCTTTGCTGCAAAACGAAGTCGAAACGAAAACGGCCCACGACATCACAAAAAACACCGTTTAGTTCCAGCCCTGGTCTCGAGGCCGCCCAGATGGGGACAGAGTTGACGAAGCCAGGGGGCCGCCCTCGCATCGGCGATGCATCGGCGCGTCGGGGTCGAGAAAGGTCTGGCGCCGGGCCTTCGCCGCATGCATCGCCGATGCAGCGGCCAGGTGGCGCGAGCCTCCCGCGCCGTCAGCCTCGGCCCCACCCGGGGTGGCCTGCGCCGCCCCGCTGCTCGTCCCGAGGCGGCTCCCGGGTCCTCCGCGGGGGCGCGGGGAAACGCCCGCTCGCCGCGCGTCGCGGCACGGGCCCCGAGCAGCGCAGCGCGGTGCGCGGAGGCAGGGCGGCCTACGGTGGAGGCCCACGCCAAGGGACACACCAGCTTGCCTCCAGGGTGCCCTGGGTGTCTTGGGTCTCGATGGCTTTGCTGTGGGAAGCGCGGCGCTCCCACGCCAGAGACCAATGGGCGTCCTGGGGTCTCAGGGTTGGGTTCCCTGTGTGACGAGGATCGATCCGTTCCAGAGCGTCCCGTAAGGCTCTCAGAGCCTTTCCGGAGCGCTTTGAGAAGGCCGCGGCGCCCGAGAGATCCTCCAGAGCAGCCGGATCTCAGAGATTCCCGATTGATCCTCACCCGATGGTATCCTCGTCCTGGCTTCGTCCTGAGAGGCGGAGGAGGAGGAGGAGGAGGAGGAGGAGCAGGAGGAGGAGGCGGAGGCGGAGGCGGAGGAGAGGAGGAAGAGGAGGAGGAGAGGAGGAGGAGTGGAGGGGGAGGAAAGAGGAGGAGGAGGAGGAGGAGGAGGAGGAGGAAGGAGGAGGGGAGGGTAGGAGGGGAGTGGGTGGGAGGGGGAGGGGGAAGGGGGGGAGGGGGGGAGGGGGGGGAGGGGGAGGAGGGGGTGGGAGGGGGGGGGGGGGTGGGGGGAGGGGGAGGGGGGGGGGTGGAGGGGAGGAAGGGGGGGAGGAGGAGGGAGGAGGTAATTCGGGGAGGGACTTTCTTGGAGGAGGAGTTTGGAGGAGGAGGAGGGGGGGTCGTCTTTCTTAGGGTGGGGTTTCTGGGAGGAGGCTTTTTGGGAGCTGCTTTGGAGGAGGGAGGTTTCAGGAGGAGGAGGTGGGAGGGAGGACCAGGAGGAATGGGGGGGCGATGGAGTGGGGGGAGGAGGGCGCCGCCTCAATGGACGGTGAGTGGTGGGCAAAAAAAGGGGAGGGGGAGGAGGAGAGTCCTCCGTCCCACTTCCTCCTCCGACTCTTTCTTCCTCCACCCTCCCGTCCAGCCTGCTCTCCGTCCCTCCCCCCTTTCCGCCCTTCGCCTAAGGGCCTATGATCTTCTCTCCGTCGTTGTTGCCGTTCTCGTCGCAGGGGAAGAAGCAAGGGTGGGGGGGATGAGTAGGGGGATGTGCAGTAACGACAGGAGCAGAGGAGGAAGGGTGAGGTGAGTGCATTGTTTGTGACGTCGCAGCTTCGCACAGCTGCGCGAAGGTCGCCCACGCTGGCCTCGGATGGCCCCAACGTTGCCCCCAGGTCCGGTCCGTGGACGTTTTCGCTCGAGACCTCAGGCTTCGCGGCTTCACCTATCAGCTTTCATTGAAGAGGCCCCTGCAGTCGACTGGGCCATGTGCAGCTCGAGGGCTCCCCTGCTCCTCGCCCTGGTGGCCGTGTGCCTCGGCTGTGCGGCAGGCCACCGCGTGAAGGCCCGCGGGTCTGCTGTCCGCAGCGCCGGCCTCGGCGGCGCCGGCCTCGGCGGCGCCGGCCGGGGCGGCGCTGGCCGGAGCGGCGGCGCCGGCGGCGGCCGCGCAGCGGCGGAGGCGGAGGTGTTTGCGGGCCCTGCCCGCGGCGGGAAGGGCCGGGGGCCGCCGCCGAATACGACCACGACCGCCACCACCACCACCGCGGAGGTGCCAGCGCTGGTGCGCGTGGTCCGCGGCGGCAAGGGCCGGGGGCCGCCGCCGAACACGACCACGACTACGACCGCGACGCCGGCAGGCGCGGCGCTGGTGAGCCTGGCCCGCGGCGGGAAGGGCCGGGGGCCGCCGCCGAACACGACCACGACCACGACCACGACCGCCGCCAGTTGAGGGGCGCGGCAGCCTGGGAGCTGACGCGGGGAGCGGCTTCGAAGAGGAGGCGTGCTGATCCTTATACGCCCAGAGGGCGTCGAATAGTCTAGTCCTTCTTCCCTCCTGCCATCCATCTTCCCTCTGGTCCTCCCTCATGCCTCTCTTCCTCCCTCTTCCCTCTTCTCTTCTTCCCTCCCCCCCCTTCCCCTCCCCTCCTCCCCCGCCCCCCCCTCCCCCTCCACCCCTTCCCTCTCCCCGCTCTCCCTCCTCACTCCCTCGTGCCCTCGGTTTGTGGTTTTGCTGCAGATGCGAGCATTACGCTAGTCAGATGATCAGAGTTCTCGCAGAGGAGTGCTCCATAGCTCCGAATCTCGGGCCGGACGAAAGGGGGGGAATTGGGAAAGGGGCGTTTACGAAATTTGCTGCATGCAGCTGGTTTCGGCCCAACCGAGGGGCCGATTCCTCGATACATAGCCGCCTGCGTCGGGAGCCGCCGGGAAAATCACCTACATATGAGCTGATTCTCAAACCCCCCGGTTGCTATCCCCCCCTTTCGCCCGGCCCGAGAATCCCAATCGAGCTGCGCGCTCATCCAGTATTGCCAACGGGCAATGGCCCCCAGGCTCGGAGTCGGGCCGAGCTCGGGGTCTCCCAGGCCTCTCCGACTCGCTCCGCGACTGGCCTCGCTCACTTACTCACTCCTCCTCCTCCTCCTCCTCCTCATCCACCTCTTCATCCTCCCCCTCCTCCTCCTCCTCCTTCTCCTCCTCCTCCTCCTCCTCCTTCCTCCTCCTCCCCTCCTCCTCCTCCTCCTCCTCCTCTCCTCCTCCTCCTCCTCCTCCTCCTCCTCCTCCTCCTCCTCCTCCTCTCCTCCTACTCTCCTCCTCTCCTCCTCCCCTCCTCCTCCTCCTCCTCCTCCTCCATCCTCCTCCTCTTTCTTTCTCCTCCTCCTCCTCCTCCTCCTCCTCCTCCTCCGCTCCTGCTCCTCCTCCTCCTCCTCCTCCATCCTCCTCCTCCTCTTCTTTCTCCCCCTCCTCCTCCTCCTCCTCCTCCTCCTCCTCCTCCTCCTCCTCCTCCTCCTCCTCTCCTCTCCTCCCCTCCTCCTCCTCCTCCTCCTCCTCCTCCTCCTCCTCCTCCTCCTCCTCCATCCCCCCTCCCTCCTCCTTCGCCCCTGCTCCTCCTCCCCTCCCCCTCCTCCTCCTCCTCCTCCTCCTCCTCCTCCTCCTCCTCCTCCTCCTCCTCTTCCTCCTCCTCCACCTTCTTCTCTCCTTCCTCCTCGCTCACACACTCCGCCCTCTGGCGCGCAGACGACCGCGGCTGTCCGCTCCTCGGGCCCGCGGCGAAGCGTCCACCTCCCCCCTCCCCAGTCGTTGCTGCCTTGGGCGGCTCCCGCCAGTCAAGGCTTCCCCTATTGTGTCCGAGTCGAAGGATCAGCAGCGAGGATGAGCAGCGAGGAGGAGCAGCGAGGAGGAGGAGGAGCTAGGAGGAGGAGGAGGAGGAGCAGGAGGAGGAGGAGGAGGAGGAAGAAGAGGAGGAGGAGGATGGAGCAGGATGGAGGAGGAGGAGGAGGAGGAGGAGGATGAGGAGGAGAAGGAGGGGAAGAGGGGAAATGTGAGGAGGAAAAAGGGAACAAGGGGCAAGCCCGCGATCGTTTGCCCTCTGACACTAAATTCGCTCTCCGTTCCCGTGCCGAGCAGGTCCATTGGCATCTACCCCACCCCGCCGCCGGTCAATGGCGTCCTAGTAGATGGTGGCCCGAGGGTCGCACCCTATCGCCGATGCATCGGCGATTCGGCTCGGCGGCGTCGTGCCGACGTTCGACACGCACGCCGACGGCGTCGCCGACGCCGACGCCGTGAGCCCGATGTTCTCCACGCCGACGGCGTCGCCGATGCATCGGCGATTTGGCAATGCGTCGCCGACGCATCGGCGATGCGCCACGATCCTCGGGCATCGGATAGCGCTCCGTCTGCCCATCGCCAATCGTCCGTTGGCTCGCCCCGCGCAAGGACCCCCGTCGTCCGAGCTTGCCAGGCGGCGGCCTCGTGGGCCCGTCCCGGGGCCGGTCTCCTTCGGGTGGTGGCCTCCGGCCCACCTCCGCGTCTGGGCACGGTCGGAGCGGGCACGGAAAGAGTGTTTCACAGCAGGCAGTTCTTGTGTATGTTTAAGAAGTCGCTGTCCGTGTCGCCACGGGCGTCTGTAGGTTTGGAGCAAAGTTTTCCCTGCCCAGCAGCGGCCGCCGTCGATGTCGGACAACGTCTGCTGCTGGGGATCGTGCAGTGGAGACCCATGCGAAGAAGCACAACAGCTTGCCTCCAGGGTGCCCTGGGTATCTTGGGTTTCGATGGTTTTGCTACGGAAAACGCGACGTCCCCACGCCAGAAGTCAATGGATGTCTTGGGCTCTCAGGGTTGGGTTTCTGGTGGAAGGTTTCTTGTGGTCGAGCCTCTACTGTACCCATTCCTTTCCGTACCCGTTTCGCGCGTGCCAATCTTCGTTCTCTTCTTCCCTCCTGGGGTGCCTCCTTCTGGCTTCCCTTGAGGCCGCCGCCTCCGTGCCAAGATCTCCGACGATGAGATGTTTTGAGCCGGCCTTTAGTCCAGGACTTCGGCCCACTGGGGCCATTTTATGCCCAAGTCGGGCATGTCCCCCTACAGGAAGAATTTTCGGAAGTAGCCAAAAACAGTCTGGGGACGATTGGTCGAATATGCTTGACGATTATTGAATGTTCGGGCTATTTGTACGTTTCCGCCAAAAACCGCCCGTACGACGACATGCCCGACCTAGCTTTAGCCCCCCTCCAGGCCGAACAGGGATGCAGGACCAACAACAACGCCCTTTGTGGAGCAGTCGGTACCCCTGGGGTCGCGCATTGAACATAAAGCACGTCGGCGGATGTCGGGGTCCTTGCGACGTCGATGCGTCGACAATGCAGTGCAGAAGAGGATCGGTCGAGCTCCATGCGATCGATCCCAGCCTGGCCCAGGCCCTCCGCACCGCGGGGAGTCTCGGAGCATCCGCTGTTGTTTCTTCTTCGCCGTTGGCCCGGGATCGGGGCGGAGGCGCCTGTCTGAGGTGAGGCACGTCAGGCAGTTAAAGCAGCCGTGTGTGAAGGTTACCCCTGCAGGTCAGGCGTTTGCAGACCGACTCGGCTTCCGAGTCTCGGGGATCTTCTGCAGGCAGGTGGAGCACAGCGTGGTGGGTCTGCCACCCCAGCGTCGATTGGCCCCGCAGGGTTAGGGCTCACCAGTGGTCGCAGAGGAGTGCCCTCGCGAGCACCCCCCCCTCGAGGAGGGCGGTAGGAGGAGGAGGAGGAGGATGAGGAGGAGGAGGAGAAGGAGGAGGAGGATGGAGAGGAAAAGAAGGAGGATGAGAAGGAGGGAGGAGGAGGCGAGGAGGAGGAGGAGGAGGAGGAGGAGGACGAGGACGAGGAGGACGAGGAGGACCCTTCAGGCGCAGGTCGGCTTGGCGTCCCGGGCCGTCTCTGCGCGGTCGTCTCGGGGGGGCCCTCCCCAGGCCGTCCCCTTTGCCCAAGTAGAGCCGACGAGGAGGAGGACCGAGGAGGGGGGGGGAAGGGCCCCCGCCGCGATCCAGCAGGCCAAGAGCGGGCGAGGAGGGACAGTGCTCCTCCTGCTCCTTCTCCTCCTCCTCCTCCTCCTCCTCCTCCTCCTCCTCTTTCTCCTTCTCCTCCTCCTCCTCCTCCTCCTCCTCCTCATCATCATCAACAACAACAACACCCCCTCCCCCTCCTCCTCCTGCTCCTCCTCCTCATCCTCCTTCTCCTCCTCTTCCTCCTCCTCCTCCCCCTCCTCGTCCTTGAGGTTGCGTTCGTGCGCGAAACTCCTGCACGCCAGCTCGACGGGGACCCGCCGGCCTCCCCCTTATGCCGCCTGCCCCTCTGCGACCTCTTCGCCTCCCCTTGGGGAGCACCTCGGATTGCACACCGGGGCAGCCCCGCCCTCCCAGGTAGTCCTGGGTCGGAAATTGGAGCATATACATTACCAGTTGTGGGCTGTTTTTCAAATCCAGGATTTTTTACGGTCGGGGACGACGTCGGGGTGGTGTGGTGTATAATTTCTTGTTTCCCCTTCTTACCCAGGGAAACGACGGAAAACGTATACACCAGGATTCCGTATACACCAGGATCCGTTCTCCTGTGCAAGTTTCAGTGCAGGGCCGCAAAAAAGCATCGGTGTATAGAGTTCGGTTCCCTACTGGGCTGCCGTCAGCAATCGAAGAAAAACAAAAGCACATAAACATAAACCTGTGGCGCTCCGCGCGGAGTCCTTGGATCCGCGCCTGGGCCCCCCCGGCGGCGCCTCCGGCGCCGCCCCTGGCGCGCTCCGCGCGCCAGGGAGGGGACGCCAGCGCGGATCCAAGAAATCCGCACGGAGCGCCACGAGTTTGTATTTATGAAGTTTCTTTCTTTTAAGCAAGCCCCTGGAGTAGTCTTTAACGGTCTCAACACCCAGGCACCGCCCCCGGGGGCGCCCCTGGGGCAGTCCATGCCCCAGGGTTGGAGTGTTGAGGCCGCTCTGGGCTATTCGGGGGACCCTGTTGAGGCCAGCCGTGACTACCCGCCTGGGGCGATGTGCGCAACCCGCGTCCTCCTCCTCCCCCTCCTCCCCCTCGTCCTCCTCCTCCTCCCCCTCCTCCCCCTCTTCTTCCTCCTCCTCCCCCCGTCTACTCCACAAACGTCCTCTCCTCGTCTATCGCCCTCCGACTCCTCACCCTTCACCTCCTCCCCCGACGATCCGGCCGCTCCTCCTGCTCGCGACACAGGCTCTCCCCCGACCCCTGCCGTGGAGCCACCTTATGGTCCCGCGCAGTATTTCGATGGTCCTGGAACCCAGAGTTGGGCGGACTACAACGGGGCGGCAATCAACGTAGGGGGGTCGAGGGTTGGAAGAACGTGGGCCAAATGGCGCTCTGAATGGCCCCTGCATTGCCCCCGCCGGGCCGAGCAGTGCCCGAAAGGCGTGCGGTTCTCCACCCCGCGTTTCTTGCCCCCACGGTTGAAGAACACCCGACGGAGCAGGAGAGGTTGGGCAGCAGTTTTCGTCTTGATTTCCCGAGTCGACGGATGTGAAATTCGGGTCTGTGCCCCCGTGCCCCATCTCCCACCCCTTCCGCGCAGGTACGCCGTGCGGAGGCCCTTCAAGGAGTTTCATGTCGCGTCTCGGCCGGTGGGGAGGCAGGAAGAGGACGTTGAGGCAGGAGGAGGAGGGAGAGGGAGGAGGAGGAGGAGGACCGACAGGAGGAGGAAACGGAGGAGGAGGAGGAGTAGGCGAGGAGGAGTATGAGGAGGACGAATGGAGAATGATGAGGTGGAGCTGGAGGAGGTGTAACAACAAGAGGAGCACAAGGACGAGGAGGAGGAGGAGGAGGAGGGGATGATGGTGATGATAATGATGATGATGATGATGAGGAGGAGGAGGAGGAGGAGGAGGAGGAGGAGAGGGATGGGGTTGAGGACGAGCAGGACGGTGAGGAAGAACAGGACCAGGAGGAGGACCAGCAGCAGGGGGTGTTGGAACAGGCGCAACAGGAGAATGGTGTTGGAAAGGAAATGCAGGGGGTTTGCCCTCATTCCTCCTCCCTGCGTTTTTCTGACGCATCCTGGCGCCGATCTGCCAGAGCGCAGCTGGGGCTCGAAGGCCCAGAAATGGCAAAACGACTGCCGTCTTGCTTTCCTCATGCCGCAGGATTCGTGGGTTCGAGGAGGAGGAGGAGGAGGTTTGCCCCGACGGCAGCACCGACAAAACATATTCACGCACACATGTATCAACATACACATAGAAGTGCATGACACACAACGTCGAACGCGACGTCGGAGCACCCCAATTCTGAGTTGGTCACGGACTTGCCGAAGCGTGCAGGTATTGCGGGTGTGCTTCTTGATGATGCCAATACCAATACGTATGTTCCAACTTCTCTTGACATGCACCGCGACTGATCAAGCATGGATTCCCCCCAGGATCAATTGCGGAGGAAGCCTGTTGATCGCGCAGACGTTACAGCCAACCCATGACGACTGCTAGCATGATGCGGCCAAGGCGGTGAAACAAGAATTGCTGTGGGTTCGGCAGTGGCTCGCTGTACCTTGGGTCCTTCCATGGCTGTTTCTCTGACCCCACTCGTGCACGCCGGCCCCCTCGGGGCCAGAACAGGCTGGAGGGTTCTGAGCGTGTGGAGGGGAGGCGGGTCAAAGCGGTGACCTCCTCCCTCAGCCGTGGAGCTCGAGCGGATTAGTGCTACAAGCTCGTGCTCGCGGTGGCCACGGGCAAGGAAGGGGATTACGGCCTCAGTTCCTGAGGTTGGCGCCGCCGCGCCCGAGGCCAGCGCGAACCCGCGCGCGAGGACACACGCACACACCAACACACACACACACATACACACACACGCACGCACGCACGCACGCA